AAAAAGGGGCGATTAAAAAGTAGATAGAGAAGACGGCAGGGCATGCAAATGACCCTTATATTTCATTAAGTGAGATGGTGATCGACTTTTTATATTCCAACAAACAGTTAACTGTTAGTTTCTATTGTGTTTAGTAGATGTTGTGTTGATAACTAAGTGTATGGTTAATCTACTATTTATTGTTCAATTCTGTTTGTTCTATATCAAGAAGTATACAATATATGATCAACTCTACTTATCATAAAAGGAAGTATTGCTCAGTGGTAAATCGTTTTCTTTATATGATATAACTTAAGACATTTTATCATTAGTTTGGTCTAATTGTACTATCCAGAAATCTACTTTGGAGGATAGTATTTTACCTTTAACGCTATGTAGTTAATGCTGAATTTGAAGAATCCATGGCATATCTTTTTCCAATCTCCTGTTGGTACAAACAATATACAATTTCCTTAGTTATCTCGATAACACTATATATGCGGAAATTTGTTATTCAATCAGTATAATACTATCAATTCAAATATATGTGATCAAAATTAGATAACCATTAAAGATAATATATCCTGTTCCTATATATACTCCAACCGACTCTAAAGGAAATGTGAATATCATTTGTGATAGAGAATTAATAATATATATGACCATGACCATTTAAATCCTAACACCAGATTTATTTTTGCTTAGAGAGTTCTAGCAATTGTTCCAAACAGGAATAATGAGTAAAAAAACAGCACCTAACAATGAAAACATAGAGTTCTATTCCACCCCACCTAAAAGATGGCGGAGGAATGAGGCAATCAATACTAGCAGAAGTATTCCACGTTCTAATACACCTGTCTCTAATGGTTCTGTCCCTCTACGTTCTGCATTCAATACTGTTTTGCAAGATATTACTAACCTTTCATCAACTCCTGTTATACCAACTGTTATGTCTGAGGATCCACCAACGGTTAGGTCTGCACTAAAGAAGACAATAGTAAGAGGTAGGCATTAAACATTTTATGTCATTCACAAGTTTTTTTACATAACTGTACAAAGTGCAATCATTGACTTGATAGAGTAAAGTAGTACCAATTTTCTGGAATTGATACAGGTACACCCCGTGGAAGCCACTTAACTTCTGTCTCTCCCATAAGCATTTTAGCTACTTCAGTATCCACTCCATTAGGACTTAGGGATATGACCCTAGGTACTGGTCAAACTCCTCTTATGCCACCACCCTCTGAAACAAGACCAAGACAAGGTTAATTATTTGATTTTTTTAGATAAGGATACTTTGTTATTTACTTGCTATCATTTTTACAATCTATTTTCTTTCAGGGAACCAATGTTTTGGTAGTTCTTCATGTATAACTACCAAGAAACCATCGAGATTAATTTCTCAGACAACAAACTTGCCCAGAAAAAATCTTCATTCAGACTTTACAGATGCAGGATCATCTTCTTATCATAAATGTAATATTTGTACCCTTAGTTTTCGACCGATATTCTACATTCATTAACTGAATAATGAACTTTTTTACAATTATATCTCCTATAGGACACTCTACTACAGAAACTAATGATACAGACTTCATGGAAAATAGCAGTGATGAAGAGATGTATGATGCAAATTACTCTGTGGATTTGAGTGAAGATGAAGCAGTGGTGCAAAATTATGACCATAGTAGCAGTGAGGATGAAAGTTCAGTTATACATATTCAGACAATGGACGCAGATGCAAACATTGATGTTTCATCAGAACCTATTCAGACTGTAGAATCAAGAATTGATCCCAATCAGCATCAAACACAACAAACAGATACTCAAACAAAAAAAAAAACACGTGTCAAGGCTAGAAAGAACATGAAATTAAGTATGTCTGAGTTAATTATTGTACTTTGACAAATAATATGGTTATCTAATATCTGCTAACCATATATGATTTCTTTTGTTTCCAGCTTATCTTGATCATGGAGATCCTACTTACCAGTGTAAGTATTGTGGTGCTTTAATGTGGTATGCTGAGCGTATAAACAAAAGACGTAATCAAAAGGATCCTACTTTTACACTCTGTTGTGGTCAGGGTTCTGTTAAATTACCTTTTCTTAAAGAGTCACCAGATTTAATCAAGAAACTTCTTACTGGTAATGATGCACAGAGTAGAAATTACAGAAAGCATGCCAGGATCTCTAATATGGTCTTTGCAATGACCTCACTTGGGGGAAAAGTTGATAAATCTATACCGAAAGGTCACGGACCTAGCATGTTTCGAATGCAAGGAGGTAACTATCATTTGATTGGCAGTTTAAAGCCTGCAGTTGGTGACTATGCTAAGTATTCACAGTTATATATTGTTGACACTGAAAATGAAGTAGAAAACAGAGCAACTGTTATCGGGTATTAATTTCTAAGACTTTTAACTTTTTTGTTTTTACTGCTTCTGTTGTTCTGTTATCTTTTCACTTAAAACTCTTTCATTACTTCCTGTTTTGTAGAAAGGGCAAGGAATCCAACCAAGGTGGAGGTAAACAGAATCTGAACAAGGAAACAATCGAAGCCATTATGAAGATGCTCAATCTATGCAATCCTTATGTCAAGAATTTCCGAATTGCGAAGGAAAGATTTAAAGATATTAACTGCCAGCCATTTCATATGAGGATATGCTCTGGTCGTAAGGGTGTAGATGGAAGGACTTACAGCATGCCTACTACATCAGAGGTTGCAGCTTTAATACCAGGAGATTTTACAAATGATATGCCAAATCGTGATATAGTTATTGAAGAAAGAACTACACGTCACCTCAAAAGGATTAACCAGATTCACATTTCTTATCTAGCTCTACAATATCCTCTGATTTTCTGCTATGGTGAAGATGGATATAGGCCTGGTATCGAGAAGTGTTATAAAGGGAATGTCACTAACAATAAGAAGAAGAAGTGTATTAGTATGCGTCAGTGGTTTGCTTTTCGCATTCAAGAGAGGCCTGGTGAGTGCCATACTCTGCTACTATCTAAGAGGTTGTTTCAGCAGTTTCTTTGTGACGCTTACACAACTATTGAATCTAATCGGCTATGCTACATAAGGTTCAATCAGTCTAAGCTCAGATGTGAGAACTACAGCTCCATCAAAGAAGCTGCTGACTCTGGTGTAAAAAATATGGAAGATGAAGGCAATCAAATCTTGATTCCAGCCTCATTCACTGGTGGACCTAGGTATATGGTGCAAAGTTACTATGATGCTATGGCCATATGTAAACATTACGGTTTCCCAGATTTATTCATCACATTTACATGCAACCCTAAGTGGCCTGAGATTACCAGATACGTTACAGAGAGAGGGTTAACAGCTGAAGATCGGCCAGACATTGTTGCTAGGATTTTCAAAATCAAGTTGGATTCCCTAATGAATGATCTAACAGAAAAGAAAATGCTTGGGAAGACTGTTGCCTGTAAGTTTTCTTCATTTTGATAATTCAGTGGATTAGGTGAAAGATAACATATTGAAAATGATGTGTATTTTTTTTTTTCAGCTATGTATACAGTCGAATTTCAGAAAAGAGGCCTTCCCCATGCTCACATTCTTTTATTCATGGATGCTAAAAGTAAACTTCCAACCGCTGCTGATATTGACAAGATGATTTCTGCTGAGATTCCAGATAAGGAGACAGAACCAGAGCTGTATGAGGTTATTAAAAATTCAATGATTCATGGTCCATGTGGTGCAGCAAATATGAATTCTCCGTGTATGGTCGATGGACAGTGTTCAAAACAGTATCCTAAGAAATATGAGGAAATGACAAAGGTTGGGGCTGATGGTTTTCCTGTGTATAGGAGAAGACGCTCTGATAACTATGTTGAGAAATGTGGTATTCAATGTGACAATAGGTATGTTGTCCCTTACAATAAGAAGCTATCTGTTAGATATGGTGCTCACATCAATGTTGAATGGTGTAATCAAACCGGCTCTATTAAATACTTATTCAAGTATATTAATAAAGGTCCAGATAAAATGGCATTTGTTGTTGAGCCTGATAAACCGCCAACGACAGAACAAGGTTCAAATATAGATGGAAGCTCCGTTACTCATGAATCATTACCAGAGGAGAAAAAAAAGAATGAAATAAAAGATTATTTCGATTGCAGGTAAATTGAGTAATGTGACTTCTGTTTTACTTATTTTTATTCTATAGTCATATACTTAACATCTTAAGATTAATGATAAAATGTAAAAACTGCAGATATGTTTCTGCATCAGAGGCTATTTGGAGGATATATAAGTTTCCAATCCAGCATAAATCAACACCTGTTCAGAAGCTGTCTTTCCATGTTGAAGGGAAGCAACCAGCTTATTTTAAAGGGAAGGAGGATATAACAGAAGTATTAGAAAGAATTATCAATCAGGATTCCATGTTCATGGCCTGGCTGACATTGAATAGGCTTAATGCTATTGGAAAGAATGGAAAGCGTGCTCGAGAGCTCTTATATGCAGAAATCCCTGCATATTTTACTTGGGATGGGAATAATAAGCAGTGGAACAAGAGGTCTAGAGGGTTCTCCTTGGGTCGTATTAATTATGTTCCAAGGAAGCTAGAAGATGAATACTTTCTAAGAGTCCTCCTTAACATACTCACGGGTCCAACATGTTTTGCTGATATAAAACATACAAGGGTGTTGTCTATGCAACTTACAAAG